TATATAGATGCTGATTTAAACTTATGAGCAATGAAATAATTTCCTATAAATATTCTAGTAAACTTGTTAGTTATAAAGAAAAAACCTACACCACACAAAATACCCTAGAATAATTTAAAATAAATTCTAGATGAATTAAAAAACTAATGATATAAAAATGAAAGCACAAAACAACTTAAAAAGAAGTAGCAGGAGGAAGATAAAATTGCCAGTTATCAAGTATTTGTTGGCAAGGATAAGGGAAAATTTGCATTTTATGTTTTTTAATAGGTTGGTTCATTTGAAGACCTATATAATGTTTCTATATAAGGAGTAAGTAATTTCATAATCAGACAAAGTAAAGTAAAAGAGGAATGAAAAAAGAAATTTCCAAGTAGCAACTTCATTAATTTGTTTTAAAGCCTCAAAGCACTCTAGATAATATGTTGTCCAAATATCTCTTGTAAATTTTTAGATTTTATGATTATGTGATCATGGCATTATGTCTTACCCAATTAAAACTTGGCAATCGATTTCCATAGTGATACTGCCTCGGAAACCCAAGGAGGGCTTGCTATGAGTTGGGTCCGACTGGACAGCACGTAAGAACAAACAACAACAACAATGAGAGGAAAACCATTTAACAGTAGCTTAACAATCTTACCAGGAGTTTCAGAGGATTCCAGGAAGTTTATGGCATTTGCTTCTAAAATCTAAGCCTTTGTTCTGAAGTATTATGGTCAAGACACCAAGGCTCTGATAATCATGGCTGAGCCACTTAGAAAGCCCTACAGACTTAGGAAAGGCCGCCAGTGTCTCCCAGTGCACTTCCTCATCTGCAAAATGAGGAGACCACCAACTACCTCAATGGATTATAGTGAAAACAATGAACGACCAGAGCCTAGTTTCAAATACTGGGCATCTAATTGGCACTTAAGATAAGGTACCTGCTACTACTGTTACCGAGCCTGGTTTAACTTCATCTGTAAATAATTAGATTTATACATTGATTATCAGTCTCTATGAAGAGAAAAACATATAGTTTATATGTCCCGTGTCACCATGAATTACCCTAAGTAGAATTTTTAAAACAAGAAAAGGAAGCAGAGATGTAGGGAGGGAAAAGTAGAAGAGAAGAACAGAAAAAGGAAGTTAGACAAAGATTAGTAATACCTTTTATTGAATGGAACTGGCCAACAGTTAAACTGACTACCCTAAAGGTCAAAAGAACCCACTTGGTATTAAACTTACCAATTAAGTGTGATCAACTTGAAGCAAAATGAACTTTCTTATGCCGAGGTGTCCTCATAAAGCTGTGGAATAAAACTTGCCATTTCTATTTAAAGCCATTGCTCTACTGCTTAACAGTTGGTCAGGGAGAAAGGCAGCAAGCAGGGTTAGAAAGGGAAAAAAGAGAAGGGTAAAGATGAAGAGAAAAACAACATGCAATTATGGATCAAATCTCTTCACCAGATCCTTTCAGGTTCTCCTTGTGTTCTAACCTGCAGTTGCTGGGAGCTGTCATTGAGATTGTCCTCCCTTCGTCGAGCCTCCTCTAGCATCTGTGCACTCTTCTTTTTTTCCACCTGCTCCTTGTGCTTCAGATTTGCTACCTTCTTATTCTGGTCTTTCACTTGCCTATTGATAAGGGGTAAAAAACGTAAGCTTTTTTATATATAAGCATAGAAAACATACTATATACTCACACCACTGACACAAAGGACCTGTTGAAAGCCAACAAAATATTCCTGCTGCAAAATATCTTTACCACTTCCAAATTCCTTCTCTCAATAGTTGTAAATTGTTTATAGTGATGTTTTCGTTTTCCTCTAAAGAACATGCATTCCATGCCCCTTCCCAAGATGAAGCTTAATGAAATCATAAAACAAAAGAAAGGCATGAGTTACTTTGAAATGAAAGAGAAAAAGAAACCAAGTCAGAGATTAATGTTGAAAACATTAAAAACAATCTCCTAACAGTAATGCTATGAAGTATTAGAATGTGTGAATAAGAAAGGTTTTGTAACACAATTCTTAATTTTACTACTAGTAAATACTTTGAGCATTCAAAAGGATACATATGAAGGATATGGGAGATAATTAATGATACAAAAACCTAGGAACCCAATTTAAGAAATACCAAAAGAAAAAAAAAGCAAACTCACTGCTACTGAGTTGGTTCCTACTCATAGCGACCCCCTATGGATTTCCGAGGCAATAAATCTTTACAGAAGTAGATTTCCCAAGTCTTCCTTCCACGGAGTGGCTAGTGGGTTTGAACCACCAACCTTCTGGTTAGCAATCAAATGCCTTAGGCACTATGCCACCAGAGCTCCTTAATTTAAAAAACAGAACATTATAATTACTTCTTAAGTTCCCTATGTATTTCTCCTTATCTTGTATCTCATTGCCTACTCATTGAGAGAAAGGCCTATGCGGAATGCTGTATTTAAATTCCCCTTGTTTTTGTTATAGTTTTGCTACATACATATGGATCCAAGCCATGGTCTTTTCAATCATCTCATCTGCATGCAAAAGCCAGACAAAAAAAAGGAAGACAGAAGAATTGTTGCATTCAAATTGTAGTGTTGGTGAAATCAAAAGAAACCAAACCCACTTTTATCCAGTCAATTCTGACTCACAGTTACCCTACAGGACAGAGTAGAACTGCTTTACAGGGTTTCCAAGCCTACAAATCTTTAGATAAGCAGACTGCCTCATCCTCCCACCACTGAGCAGCTGGTGGTTCAAACTGCCCACCTTCTGGTTAGCAGCCAGATGCCTTAATAATTGCACCACCAGAGCTCCTAATGTTGGTGAAGAATACTGAGTATTTTGTGACCTGCCTAAAGAATAAACAAATCAGCCTTAGAAGAAATACAACTAGAATGTTCCTTAGAAGAGAGGATGGCTAGGCTTTGGCTCACTTGCTTTGGAAATATATTCAGAAAAGACCATTTGCTAGAAAAGGCCATTCTGTTTGGTAAAGAAGAGGATCCTCAGAAACAAGGGGAAATTCAAGGAGATGTAATGATACAATATTCACAACAATGGCCTCAAATTTACCAAAGATCATGACTATGACACAGGACTGGGTGAGTTTTCATTTTGTTATACATAAGGTCACCATGTGTCACACCATGGCACCTACTGTCAGGCAGGAACAGGCAGGTAAAGGATTAAGCCTGAAAGAATTACTGGAACGGTCAAGCAAGGGAGTGGCTGACCACACCCTATACTGAACCCCAGCACATGACCTTGGCTTAGGAAGACCCTCAACTATTTCCTGCCCACTATGCTAATGAAGTGCTTCAACTCTGCTTCCTGCCCCCATGCTAATAAGGTGCTTTTACCTATTGGTTCCTGTAACACATACCCTGCTCCCAATCTAGTCCTCTAAGAACTAGGAAGAAAATCACTATAAAAAACCCTTTCTTTCACCTGGGTGGTGCAACTGCTCTGGTCCCTCTCAGGGCCCCTCTCAGGGATCCGTGAACCTCGCCTGGGCCCCTCTCTCGGGGACAGGCAAACCTCTCCCGGGAGCGGAGAATAAAAACTTCTCTTTAACCCCACTTTCATGCATCCGCTTCTCCTTACTGCAACCTACCACTACCATTTAGCTTTGTATATCTTTGAACTTTATTGTTGTTGTTATGTGCCATCCAGTCAGACCTGACTCATAGCGACCCTTCCTTGGGTTTCCGAGGCAGTTGTTGTTGTTGTTATGTGCCATCGAGTCGGACCCGACTCATAGGGACCCCTCCTTGGGTTTCCGAGGCAGTATCACTACAGAAGTAGATTGCCCCATCTTCCTTCTGGGGAGTGGCTGGTGGGTATCACTAAGGAAGTATATTGCCCAGTCTTCCTTCCTAGGAGTGGCTGGTGGGTTTGAACCACCAGCCTTCTGGTTAGCAGTAAAGTGCCTTAGGCACTACGCTACCAGAACTCCCTTGAACTTTATATGTAAAGTTCATTAGTAAACTTATTTTTTCCTTTTAATATATGTTTTGAAACTCATACTGATCAATAGCGCATTATAGTTTTTCTCCCTCCACTTTCACTGTGGTATATAGCATAATACATACAACTTGTTTTAACCCATTTCTAAGAAGATGAACAATTGAGATGTTTTCATTTTTTTCCTATTACAAAGAACACTGCTAGGTACATTCTGACATACCTGTGTAAGAATAGGTATAGCCTTACAAACTGAATTGTTAGGCCATATGGTAGGTACATGTTAAACTTCACTAATTATTTTCTAAAAAGGTATATTAATTTATACTCTCAGTAGTAGGATACAATGTTATTTTTCTTTATCTTCACTGACACCTTGTATTATCAGGCTGCCTAAAGTTTGCCAGTCTGGTCGCTATGAAATACTCTCACTGTTCACCACCCATCTTGTCAGTTTGTTGTACTACGGTGGCTTGCATGTTGCTATGATGCCCGAAGCTACACCACTAGTATTTCAAATACCAGCAAGGTCAGCTATGGTAGAACGGTTTCAGTGGAGCTTCCAGACTACGTACAACAAACAGACTAGGAAAAAAGACTTCACAATCTTTGATCTTTGATCTATGATCTATGATCAAAGAAAACGCTATGATCACAACAGAACAGCTCAATACAGTGCTGCTGGTAGATAAGCCTCGTGGGTTGGAAGACATTTAACACAGTGCTGCAACAATGAACTTGAGCATACCAGGGACCATGAAGAGGGTGCAAGACAGAACAATGTTTGGTTCTGTTTAACAGAGTTGTCATGAGTTGGAGCCAGCTTGAGGGCAACTAAAAACAACTTCTTAGCATTTTGTGTGTCCCTCAATACTGAGATAAACACCTTTTCACACAGCATTTCCTGTTTCCACTTCTAAGAAAGAGTTATATTTCTCTTTTGCCCATTTTCCAAAGAGGACATATTTTTTTGTTTGTTTGTTGACTTTTAGATATTCTTTATATTTCTGAATAACTCTATATCCGTTATATGTAATGCAAATATTTTCATCCAATCGTAGTTATTTCTTTGACTGCTTTATGCTATCTTTTCATCCACAGAATTTAAAACTTTTAATTGTTCAAATGTACCAATCTTCTCCTTATGGTTTGCAATTTTATGACTTTTTCCACAACATCTTCTCCCATCCCAAGTTCATAGAAGTTTTGGTTAGCAGTCAATATTCCCCTAACATTTCAAAAAAATATTTTATTGTGTTCCAAGTAAAAGTTTAAACAGCAAATTAGGTTACCATTTACTATTTTTTCTACAAACTTTTCTCTGACATTGGTTACAATTATCACAGTGTGTCAGCATTCTCATTATTTCCATTCTGTTTGTTCTGTTCTCATTTGTCTAGTTTCCCTTCCCCTCTTTGCCATCTCATCTTTTGCTTTTAAGTAAATGTTGACCATTTGGTGCCCTATATATGACTGTTTAAGGGAGCACATTCTTCATAGGTGATATTGTTTATTTCATAAGCCAATCAAATTTTTGGCTGACAGGAGACCTCCAGGAGTGGCTTCAGTTCCAAGTTAAAAGGGTATCTTAGAGCAATAGTCTTTGGGATTCCTCTAGTCTCTATTAGCCCAGTAAGTCTAGTCTTCTTTAGGAATTTGAGAATTGCTTGATATTTTTCTCCCATTCTAACCAGGACCTTCTACTGTGTCCCTGGTCTGAATGGTCATAGCGGTAAATAGGCATCATCTAATTCTTCTGATCTCAGGCTAGACGGGGCTGTGGTATGTATAAGCTGTTATTAGTTTCGTGGACTGGTTTCTTTTTAAAACTTTTTTATGGCGATTTGGGTGAAACTTTCCAGAGCAAATTGTTTTTCTATTCAACAGAATTCAATAATTCATACACATTTTGTTTCATGACACCACCTGACTGCAATTAGGTGGTGCAATGAATTATATAATATGGCTCTTCTAGCCATGCTCCTTATGACTTCCACCAGATGACTGGGTGGAACTACGTAAATGTGAGGTGCTTGTGGTCCACCAAGGGGACTGGATAGCTTGTTAACAATATAAAGAAGCTACATGGCACCTTTGTGGAGATGGGACCATGGAACTAAGGTACATGGAACCATAACGTGGGGATTAGTCAGATTTGCCATGCCACTAAGTTTAAAATGAGCCCTCCTAGAGGCAGAAAAGGAGCTCTAGTAGCTTAGTGCCCAAGGCATTTGACTGCTAACCAGAAGGCTGGCGGATCAAGCCCACCAGCCACTCCTCGGAAGGAAGATGGGACAATCTACTTCCGTAGTGATACTGCCTCGGAAACCCAAGGAGGGGTCACTTTGAGTCGGGTCTGACTCAACAGCACATAACAACAACATCAAGGACAAATATTGTATTAGTGTATTATTGTAAAAAATCAAGGAAAGGTTTATATATGGAAAGAAACTTTCTTTGTTGGTTACCAGGGGTGGGAGGAAAGGGGAGGAAGCACTGTAAAAAAAAAAACAACTGTCAGCCCTCATTAAGCTTATAGTCTACTGGGAATACAGAGAATATAAGTAAAGTACACAGTACGTCAGATGGTGATAAGTTCAGTGAAAATAAACAGGAAAAGAAAGGACACAGAGCATGTGCTACTGGGCAATGGGGTTACAATTTTAAATAATGTGACCAGGA